AGGAATGTGAACTCACATTCCAACTTCTTTCCATCATATATTGACCACGACAAACTCTAAGGGGAGAGGAAGGTACATTTTCTCTACTCCTTCCATAGGGGGCAACAGTAATTTCTGATACTATGTCTCACTGTGTCCCACAGCTCCAAAGTCACAAGGTGGATTTCAAAATCATGGGAACTAAAATTGAAGTGTTGCACCCTTTCAATTTCAATCTGTGATCTTAAACACACACACACACGGTTTGGATATCACAAAGGATTTCCATTTATGGAACACAACTCCCCTCCCCCCATGCAGCCCAAACGCTGCTCCCGGGGAACAGGCGCTTGGGGAAAAACAGAGGTTTGCCAGTGGGAGGGAGGAATTGGCAAAAATCACATACCCCCTCCACCTGTGGAAATCTTATGATAGATACAAGTAGAAGAGAAGAAGAAGAGATTGGATTTATACCCTGCCCTTCACTCAGAGTCCCAGAGCAGCTTACGATATCCTTTCCCTTCCCCTCCCCACAACAGACACCATATGAGGTAGGTGGGGCTGAGAGAGCTCTTTCGAGAACTGCTCTTGAGAGAACAGCTCTGAAAGAACTTGTGACTGACCCAAGGTCACACCATCACCAGCATGTGAAGGAGTGGGGTATCGGTTCTTTCAGATTAGAGTCCACACTCCTAACCACTAAACCAAACTGGCTTTCATTAAAAAAAAACTGTTTTTAATGCAGCAGAATAAACTAGAAACTTTTGTTTAGGAATGGAAGTTGAAGTAGTAACAGATTTTGCCAGGCATATCTTTGAGAAGCAGGCACTGCCTACCCTTGCTACAGAAAAAAAAAGGATCACCTGATGTCGATTGACACTACTGACAACATGTCGCCAACAATTAACAGCTTCAATTTTATTGCAAAATGAGTGGGTGGGGGCCACAGGAACTGAGGTTTGTTTTATTTTACAAAAAAAAGACAGTCAGTCCTGAACATGTTTGATTTGTAAATGGAAACAGAGAAAAAAATGTATATGCAGGAATCCTGCTAGATCTTGTATTGCAGCTGTAAATTGAACTCCAGATCCAGGCTGTTTGGCAAGACCTTCACTGGGAATGATGCCTCTAGGCCTGATTAAAACACAGTGAAGAATGATGTGCTAATAAGGTGATAGAGACCTAAAGTAGCAGAACAGACTGCACCACATCAGACTTCACCTTTGAATAATCCATTACATCAACCCCCTCATGCAACTAGAAAAGCTATTCAGCAGGGAGCAGGAGGGAGGGGTAGAATCAGCTTGCTGTGCTAGTGCTTTATCTGAAAATAATTTTTAATGGGGGGGGGAGCATTCCAAAATGCAGTCCTTCACCCACTCAGCATTCTAGCCCCCTTTATTTTCATGCATTTGTGAATCAGGTCTCAATCAGCTCGTAGCAACAAAGCATGAAGTGCTTGGCTCAATGAAATATATGCCCTCAAGAAAGCCTACCTTCTTGGTTATGTGGACCAGATTTAGCGATTGGCAGGTACTTCATCATTGATGTTATCAAACGACTAACCCACCTGGAAGAAAAAGAAACCCAGAACATTTTAGGTTGCCCAGGATTTCACACTTCAATTCACTCTCAATGTTTTCAATTTGGAGACAGGGACAGTGAAAGCAAGCCTCTACTCACACCCGATCCTCCCTGTTCTACAGTTTTTTTCTCTCCATCTCTGCCTGCATTGCTTCATACCTCCAAAACATAATCTTTTGGAATTTGACAGCGATGCGCACAAACCACTGATAACAGATACTCCCTGGATTTTTTTCAGCTCTTCTGCAAATTCCTCCCTTCTCTTTCACCACTTAAAATCCAACACCAAATATAGTTTACAAAACACAAATGAGAGAGGGGGAGGGGGTCCTCACGGTTCTTCACAAGACTGGGTGCCTAACTGGGGGCCTGGCTTTCCTTTGCTGATCTCAGCAGTGGTCCTTGGAAGCAGGAAAGCAGGGGAGACTCCCTTGGAACTGCGATTAGGCATAACAACAGCAGCTGGAATGTGCTGTTCTGCCCAGCAAAGCTGTATCTTTATTTATTTTATTTTATTTTCATACTTATACCCCGCCCTCCCCAGTGGGCTCAGGGCGGCTCACAGAGGCAAGAACAACTTGCCATGATAAAACAATATATACAAAACAGTTTAAAACATATACTACATATTAAAATATAATAACAGGTGCTCAAGCTCCCATTCATAATCTAAAAGATGGCGGATTGAATGTCCAAAGTCCCACGAAGACGGCAGGAGGATTCTTCGGTAGCAGATGTTTAATCAGGACCTTGGGGCGGTGGTGGTATAGTAGGGGTGGCGGCTCCTACTCGAAAGCCTGGCGGAAGAGCTGTGTCTTGCAGGCCCTGCGGAATTGCATGAGGTCCCGCAGGGCCCTGATCTCCCAGGGAGCTCATTCCACCAGGAAATCAGGTGACTTTGGCTAAGGAATGAAACACCATCGTTGTACACAATGCCTTCGTTCGTCTGTTTAAAAATCTTTAAGTGCCTGCCTTGCTCCCAAGCAACTCAGGATCCCATGCAGGAAACAATACTATAAGAACACCTGGATTAAAACAATTCAAACAGAATGAATAAATAAGTGCACTCTAAAACCGAGTTAGGAGCTGCGGTGTCTCAAGTGGTTAAGACGCTGAACTGCAGGCTGTGGAAGGTCGGTAGTTCAGCAGTTCGAGACCCGAGTGTGCCGCATGACGGAGTGAGCTCCCGTCTCTAGTTCCAGCTCCTGCCAACCTAGCAGTTCGAAAGCAAGAAATTGCAAGAAGATCAATAGGTACCACTTCGGTGGGAAGGTAACAGCGTTCCGTGTGCCTTGGTGTTTAGTCATGCCAGCCACATGACCACGGAAACATCTTCGGACAGCGCTGTCCCTTCGGCTTTGAAACAGCGATGAGCACCGCAACCCTAGAGTCAGACTCGACCGGCTTTCGAGCAAGGGAACCTTTACCTTTAAAACCAAGTTATGTCCTACTTTCAGGGTATTCCCCTTTTCTGCCCAGGCCGTAACAAAAGTTCTGCAGAATAATTCTGTTTTACAGCCTTGCTAGAAAGCCAGGAGGATCGAAGCCCTCCTGATTCCTTCTAAGAGGTTGTTTCACAAGCCTGGGCAGCCACTGAAAAAGCCTGAGGGCCGACCATTGTGGACAGAGGGCACACTGGAAGTAGAGCTTACTGGGAAGGAAGAAAGAGCCACATGGGAATGTGCAGGGTGAGGCAGCCTTGTAGGGTGGAACCCAGGACTACTTGAGCTGGTTCACTGTGATTACTTACATGCTTAGATCAGCCAGTGTTTCCGCTGCAAAGACGAAGGGCTTGTACTTCTCGTGTGTGAGCTGGAAAACACTAAACCAGAAAAAAAAAGTGAGAGGTTTCCCAGAATCCTTTGCTGCCAGGAGTTACTACAAAGTTTGGCTAGAATTCTGTATGCCTACAATGGTGTAATTGCAACGGGGAATGGAGATGAAGACTGTGGGGCGAGCGCAAGTACCGGGTCCGAACCTGAGAATCCCGTGCTTGATCCCGACCAGAAGGGAGACGATAAGACTATGGGCGCCAAGTCGAAGAAGCACATCCTCTTCAAACCCCCCAAAGGTCGGGACAGCCCTGACTGTTGGGAAGACCCACTGTGGTTAGCAAGCACACCTGGTTTCCGTGGGGCCCGTGGGCAATCGGACCGGGAAGGACAGAGAGTCTCCCGCACCTTCCACAATGACCCAGAGTTGGGCAAGCTGATGGAAGAATGGGAAGACGAGTCGGGAGGCGACAGGGACCAATGGGGCCTGCAAGCTGAGGTGAAACAGCTGAAAGAAGGGCTGCAGTTCCTGATCAAGAACCTCCCTAAGGTGGTGAAGGAGCTCATGGTCTCTGAAGACTCTGGTGAAGAGGCCGTGGCAGACGAGCTGGAGAGGCCCCCACCCAAAGGGAGAGGGGGTGACTCCGAGCAACAGCAACCTCAGGATGCCTTGGAGGCCACCTTCGATGGCAACCCGGGGAAGCTGGCTTTCTTTGCCATCCAGGTGCGGAAGATGCTCCGAGAATAGGGCCACACCTTTGCCTCCGATGAACAGTGCGTAGACTACGTGGGGTCAAGACTCCACGACCGAGTCGCAGACTGGTTTGTGGGGCTTTACAATGTCGCTGCCCCAGAGCTGCGGAATGTGGATGCTTTCATGCAAGCCTTATGCCACCAGTTTGAGGGCTCGCTTGAACTGGAAAAGGCCCGCACCCGCCTCCGGGGTCTACGCCGGAGGACTTGGTTGGTACAGGAGTACTCCAATGAGTTCAAAGCCACTGCTGCAAAGCTACAGGGGTGGCCAGAGGAGGTGCTGATTGAATTCTACCGGGCCGGGCTGAATACTGTTATTCTGGAGAAGGCTTTGGCCCAAGACAACCCCCTGATGCTGGGGGGATGGATCCAAGTGGCTTGCGAGGCTCAAAACTGGCACAACCTGGTGAAACTCTATCAATACCGAGCACCTGGCCAAGGTGCAGGGAGCCAAAAGGCGACTCAGGGCAGAGGGATGCTGCCCGGTGGGGATCGGGAGCATCATTTGTGGAAAGGTCTGTGTCTTTGGTGCGGGAAGGCTGGGCATTTCGTGGCAGAGTGCACAAGACTCCAAAGCAAGGAGAGGAAGCACCGTGAGGATTACAAGGAGAATAAACCAAAGTCATCAGGGAGGAGGTCAAAGTCTCCCAAGGCCCTGAAAGCTGGGGAGTTCAAAACCTTCAAAAGCATTTCGTCTAGTGACTCCGAGCAGCCCCAGAGGGTGGGAAAAGGCCAGGACCTGTTGTGAAGGGCACCAACCAACAGGTCCGCAAGTCCCCAGCATGAAAATTGGTGAGACCCTCTTCTTCCCTTGTCTTTGTGACTGTCACCATGCTTAATCCCGAGGAGGGGACCCATATCCAAGTACAGGTCCTCATGGACTCTGGGTGCACAAGAGACCTAATAAGTCCCAGCTTGGTTATGGAGTTGGGGGTGAAGGTGCACAAATTAAAAGAACCGGTAGTGTTTACACAAATGGACGGCACTCCCATGCAACCGTGCCAGTAATTGCACAGTCCAATTGCAGGTGGGGGAGTCAGAGCATTAAGAACTGAGATCATTATTTGTGCACCCATCAATGCAATTCCCCATGGTGCTGGGCAGTCCGTGGCTGCAAGCCCATGACCCCTACATGCAGTGGAGTGCGGGGACCCTCACCTTCCTAGACCCCAGATGTAAGGAACACTTGTGGCACTTGGAGTGGGGGTGGGAACCCCACCCTGCACCTGAACATGTTTGTTTGGTGAGAGAGGAAATGAATGATATTCCCCTATAGAGACTTGGCCAGGGTGTTTGAGGAGGGGGAGGTGGATGAGCTACCTCCCCACCATAAGACTGACTGTGTGGCTGAAGTACTGCCAGGCCATAAGATGCCCAAAGGAAAGTTATATGCTATGAGCCCCACGGAGAAGGAGGAACTGTGGAGGTTCATAGACAAAAATCTGGACCGGTGGTTCATTAGACCCGCGACCTCCCCTTTCACTGCGCCAGTTTTGTTCCAGAAAAAGAAGGATGGGGGCCAAAGGCTATGCACAGACTATAGAGGTTTGAATGCAGTTTCCATGTCCAACGCCTACCCCCTCCCTCTCATTAAAGATTTGCTGGCTGAGGCTTCTCGGGAAAAAATATTCACTAAGCTGGATTTATGAGATGCCTACTTCAGAGTGCACATAAGAGAGGGTTATGAGTAGAAGATTCCGTTCAACACCCCGCTGGGACAGTTTGAGTATTTGGTCATGTTGTTTGGATTAGCCGGGGCCCCAGGGGTGTTTATGAACTTGATCAAAGAAGTTTTGCACAAGCATTTGTTCAAAGGGGTGGTTGTTTACCTAGATGACGTGTTAATATATTCACAAGACAAGGAGTCACATGTAAAGCTAGTGAGAGAAGTCCTTAAAGCACTGTATGAGAACCACCTCTAGGCTAAGCTGTCCAAGTGTGAGTTCCACAAGGAGGAAATTGACTTTCTAGGGTACTGCATCACAAGGGAGGGATTGGGGATGGATCCCAAGAAAATACAAGATGTAGCGGGGTGGGAACCCCCACGCACCAGGAGGCAATTACAATCCTTCCTTGGATTCGTGAATTTCTTCTGCCCTTTCATCCAGAATTTTGCCCAAGTTACTCTCCCAATGACAGACTAAGGAAAGTCCTGGAGAGTAAGAAGGGTGGTTATAAATTAGAATGGTTCCCAGAGTGCCAGCAAGCTTTTGAAATGCTGAAAACCTTATTTACATCAGAGCCTATACTCCACCACCCAGATGAAACTAAGCCATTGTCCAGATGGACACCTCAGACATGGCGATGGGGGGGGGGGCTATATTACAAAGGGGCCCAGATGAGAAATTACACCCACTCACCTATGTTTCAAAGAAGTCCTCCAGTGTAGAGAGGCACTGGGCTGTTTGGGACAAGGAGGCAGCAGCCATTAAGTTGGCTTTGACTACTTGGAGACATTGGCTGGAGGGGCCCCAGGATCCTTTTGAAGTGTGGACCGACCATAAAAATGTAGACGCATTGAAAAGCCCTCGGCGCCTGACTACAAAACAGTTGCACTGGGCAGAGTTCTTCTCTAAGTTTCGTTTCACCCTCAAACACCTCCCAGGGAATCCAACTTCCTGACTGACGCCCTATCCCACCTACTGCAGCATGCCAGTCCATGTGATGAGGTCATAGACACTATGTTCACGCCCACCCAGTTGGGAGGGGCGGTTGTGACTCGAGCCCAGGCAAAAGTGGTGTGTGTGTGTGCACTTACTCCACGCAAGATTTGGAAGCCATAAAGAAAGAGGGCACACTGATCCAATGGGACCTGGGTTAATGGGGATAAACTATTTGTACATGAATCACTAAGGGGGAAGTTCTCTCGATGGGACATGATAGCAAACTGTTGGGACATTTTGGATACTTGAAAACCCTGCATCTGATTCAAAGGCAGTTTTGGTGGCTTCGCATGCAAGGAATCATTTCAAAGTACGTGGGATCGTGCTGGACTTGCCTCACGAGCAAACGCGGGGGGGGGGGAGGTGCCAGTCCTGCTTCAACCTTTAGAGACTCCAGAGCGACCATGGTCGGTAATATCCATGGACTTTATTACAGACCTACCCCCCCCAGTCAAGGGAAGATGGTGATCTGGGTGGTAGTGGACTTGTTCTCAAAACAGGCATACTTCATCTCATGCAAGCAGGTGCCCACCGCCAAACAGTTGGCCCAGATGTTTGTGCAACACATTGTGAAATTACATGCTTCACCCTTCAAAATAATTCCCAACAGGGGTTCACAGTTTGTTGCCAAGTTTTGGAGGGAATTATTGAAGGTCCTAGGGGTGGAACTGTCAGCTAAGGCTGCCATGTAATGGCATGTGTGGGTTGCTGTCCACCTCTCTCACTCGCCCTCCCTACTTCTTTACGTCTTGAGCTGTTATCATAGTAGTGTCCTTGAAGCTGTGTATTGCCTGCTCCTAGCTTCCCGCTGGGAATGTAACCGTTGCTTTTTGCCCGCGTTCCCAGGTGCTTTTCATTGGCCTTCCCGTGTCAGGGGGTCTTGTATGAAGGGGGTATATCTGGGGTTCCTTTCACTATCCCTCCATTCCTGACACAGAGGTTCATGGTGTCTTAAGTACTCGCTCTCAATAAACAAACTTCTGAAGGAACGTTGTTGGGTGTGATTGACTGAAGCCCCTGACAGGAACAAGGGTTAAGAAGTGTCACCCCAAAACTGATGGCCAGACCGAGCGCACCAATCAGGTCCTGGAACAATTCTTCAGATGTTTCATTAACTATCGACAGGATGATTGGGTGCAGCTGTTGCCTTTTGCGGAGTATAGCTACAATAATTCAGTGCATAGCTCCACTGGAATGTCTCCCTTTAAGGCGGTCCATGGTTATGAAGGGGGGGGCCTCTATCTATGCTGAACTTTGATGAACCTATAACTGGAGAAGATCACGCATGGTGGTCCATACTGCATATAATGAAATTACAGGGAAAAATTTAGTAGAGGCAGTAACCAAATTAAGGAATGGAAATGTTTGAACTGTGATATTATGTTTTGAAGCAGAGAGGTAGAATGTAATCCATAAAGTAAGTTAGAGTTAATATGAAAGTATGTTAGTATATAGAGTAAGAGTTAGTAGATAGGATAAGTGGGAATAATAATAATGGAAAATAGATAATATGAATGGAATAGTTAAAGCCAAGGGCATAGCAAGGAGGGGAAGGGTGTGCCCCCCCCAAGACCTCCGATAAGATGGAGGAGGGTTTCCTCCTGTTGCAGAGGCTCCCTCTGCAGCACCCAGTTTCGGAGGCAACCCTGTTCAACTTTCCGTTATAGGTATGGAAGAAGATAGACTATAAGTATAAAATAAGGATGTACGGAGGGAATCCAGCAAAAGAAGTATAGAAGTTTTGAATAACTTAAAGAAGAATGTAATAATGTTTAGATCATGAATTAGAGGAAGTTGTACGGCGGTTTGGACAAGCGGATAAAGAAAGGGAATAAGATAATGAGGATAGAGAGTACTTATATGCTTTCAATGTTTAATTTGATTCTTAGAAAGAGGAGAATATGAAAAATGAAGTGTTAAGATATGCATTAAAATATCTGGATATATATATACACACTTAATAAAGTTATCTATTAAAAAAAAGCACCTCTGAGGGGTGCAGCCAGGGAAAAAACTGGGGTGGAAATACATTGGTCCTTTTAAAGTGACTCGTGTGATTAATAAGGTGACTGACTGTAGAGGTTGAATTCCCTAAAAATCTGTGTCACGTGCATCCTGTGTTTCATTTTAGTCTGCGGAAGATAGATCCTGGACCCTCGCCCTGGACTCATCATTGTCCTGCTCCTCCTACTCTCATGGTTGAAGGAGAACCCCACCAGGAGGTGGGGACTATCTTGGACTCTAGGTTAAAACGGGGGCGTGTGTTCTACCTAATTAAGTGGAGAGACTTTGGGCCAGAACATAATGAATGGGTTGAGAGCACAAACATCAAGGCCTCTTCCCTTATCTGTGCTTTCCATAAATGTAACCCTCACAAGCCGGGTGGTTGAGGAGGCTTTGGGTGGGGGGGGCAGAATGTCAAGCTTTAGTTTTGTTTCATTTGGTTCCACTTCACTGCTTGCCATAGTTATGGGGGAGGGAATTCCTGAGGGGGGTGCACGGGTGTTTAGAGTGGATGCTTTTAGAAGCCATAACTTTTCCTCAAAGCTGTGCCCCAATGCTGGTTCCCAAGGGAGCTGGCCTTGGAGTCGTCTCTCCCAGGCTAGGATGTAGATAAAGCACCGTATATCTGTCAGGGTTGCCATAGTGACCTAGGGGCTGACTGATGACGTATGTGTGAGATGTGGGGTGTAGTTTGTATATTACCTGTAATAGAGGATTTTTCATGCCTTTTGTTAGTTTTGACACAGAGCCTGTTTCCTGAAGTAAGCATATCTCAATAAACTACCACTACTTAAGTGTTTGTGGAGAGTGTCTTAACTGGGAGATCTGACAGTGTGCCAAGGGCCCAAAAATGGGCAAGGCAGCTAACCTAGGAACCTGAAAGCCTCTAGCCTGATTTCTGAGCCCCTCGTCAATGGCATTTGGAAGCACCACGGGGATGAACTAGGGACAGACTTACATGTGTATGCCCCACATTATGTATTTATACCCCACTTTTCTCCACCAATGGGGACCCAAAGCAGCTTACAACATCATTTTCCCTTCTCAGTTCTATCCCTACAACCAGGGCTATTTTTGGGCAGGAACGCACAGGAACGGAGTTCCGGCTGGCTCCTGAGTTGGCCACGCCCAGCAAGAACTCATTAGCATAATAGGCCACACCCAATAGCAGAAACCTATTAGGATTGGCTACATTAGGGGTGTGTGGCCTAACATGCAAAGGAGTTCCTGCTCCAAAAAAAGTTCTGGGTTTTGACAACAAACAAGGTGAACAGAATAAGAAGGGAAAGGTGGGTGTGGCTGGATGACTACACTTCTGGTAACATGGGTGTGTGGCCTAATGTGCTAATGAGCGGTGCTGTCAGGGTGTGGCTTAATATGCTAATGAGTTTCTAATGTTGGGTGTGGCCTATTATGCTAATGGGTTCCTGCTGGGCTTTTTCTACAAAAAGAGCCCTGCCTACAACAATAACTCCGTGAGGTAGGTTAGCTTGAGAGTGTGTGACTGGCTCACGGTCACCCAGTGAGCTCCTATGGCAGAGTGCAGGGATTCAAACCTGGGTCCTCCGGATCCTAGTGCAACACTATTTCACCATAGTACTCCAGCCATTTATGTTCTCATGAGCAAGCCCCATGTATTCATTTTCCTGGGACAGCCACTCCTCTGACTGAGATCTTGAACTCTGCGTTGCAATCCCAAGCAATACTTACTATTTCTTTTTCTGCTCTTTGGTGCTCTCCAGCTTGTAGGCTGACACATTGATCAGGCCTACGGCCTTCTCGTCCTAGAGTGGGAGGGAGGATGAGAATGGGAGGAGGGAAAAACAGAGCAGCATTTCACACACAACAATCAGTTCAGCTTGGGGCCATGTGTACTGGGGTGCTCTGGAATGCTACCAAGTCTGTACAGACAGGAAAAACAGGAAGCAGCTTCAGGAATCCCCAAGATATTATAACCTGTTTTCTGCTCTTGGCAGAGAGGACCTGCACACCATCCCAGATCTTCTTGGTAGCAACAAAACACAGGGCTGGAGAGGCAGACAAAAGGTATGGACGGCTTCAAAAGGGAATTAGATAAGCATATGGAGCAGAGGTCCATCAGTGGCTATTAGCCACAAGGTATAGATAGGGACTCTGAGGCAAGTGATGCTCTGTCATCTTGGTGCTTGGGGGGTCAACAGTGGGAGGGTTTCTAATGTCCTGGCCCCACTGGTGGACCTCCTGATGGCACCTGGTATTTCTGGCCACTGTGTGATACAGAGTGTTGGACTGGGTGGGCCTTTGGCCTGATCCAACATTGATCCAACATTGGCATCTCTTATGTTCTTATGTATGTTTATCTACCAGAATTGCTCTTCATTGCCAGGAAAAACAGCATCCCAATAAAACAATGTTTGTTCAAACATGTATTGGATAGCTGAAAGCCACTGTGGTGTAGGGATTGGGACGAGGACCAGAGAGGCCAAGAGACCATCATGCTCCCATCTTAATGAGGAGCTGTGGTTCATTGGCGAACACCTGCCTGGCATGCAGAAGGTCAATCCCTGCTCAATCCCTGGCTCCTCCAGATCAGATAACAGGTGATGTGAAAACACTCTGCCTGAGACCCTGGAGACTCACTGCTGGTCAGAGCAGACAATACTGACTCTGATAGATCAGAACTCTGACTTCAGTTGCCCGATCGGCCATGAAAATTCTACCAACATTTGCATGAGCTGTAACACTGGCTCCTGCATAGCCATCAGCAACTCCCCCGCCATCAGTATACCCTCCCAAAGAATGTTACGCTTGGCTGATAAGAACCTGCTGGTGGCCCCTGGCCCAAGAGATATCCGGCTGTCCTCAACCAGGTCCAGGGCATTTTCGGCCCTGGCTCCATCCTGGTGGACATCTCTGCCGAATAACATCTGTGCCCTGTGGGACTTAATGCAGCTCTGCAAAGCATGCAAGGCAGAAATGTTCTGCCAGGTGTTTGGTTGAGGGCAGCACCTCTATTCCTCCTGCCTCCCCCTCCCCCCCATGAGGCAGTGGCATATTTTCTAGCAGTTTCATTGCCATCTCACTGGATATAGGTTACCTTTTTTACTATATTATAATCTGGATTTTAAATACGATTTTATTATGTACAGAAGGGCAGTTTTATAAATAGAACTTAATAATTAATTAATTAATTAATTAATAAACTCACATTGGGGTTGCTGTACCAATAGAGGGCCTGTCCTTTCAGCACAAACCAGAACCGCTTCCATTTCTGGGCCATGAAGCCCACATGGTCTTTCTTCTTCAGAAGCCAACCGTCACAGTCCACCTGCCCCAGATCCTGACAAGAGATCCGCCGTCGGCTCAGACGGGTAGCCATTCCTGATCCAAAACAAACAGGTAAGATGAATAAGCACGTCGCAGTTTGGTACAAAAGCAAGCTCCTTGAGCAAGTTTTCATTCTTCAACAAACACACTATTAAAAAAGTTCTTAACCCCTCCCCCCCTAAGTGAGGGGCAAACAACGTTCCACTTACCTTTTTGCTTCCGTCGATATTCAGTGCTGCCCTGAAGGTATTGGTCAGGGACAAAGAAACACAGGATTAGAGGTTAACCTAAGTAGCAATTCAGTGCCAGAGCAAGTAGTTCAGTGCCAGAGCAATTCAGTGCCAGAGCAAGTAGTTCAGTGCCAGAGCAATTCAGTGCCAGAGCAAGTAGTTCAGTGCCAGAGCAATTCAGTGCCAGAGCAAGTAGTTCAAACAGGCTCTGTGTCAAAAAAAAATCCCACTGGGATAGGCTACGTAGCACCCCTCCCCAAATCACCATGCTTTAAGACAGGGATGCCCGACTTTTTTGAGCTGGTGGGCACCTTTGGGATTCTGACACATAGTGGTGGGCACAACCACAAAACAGCCACTATGGAAGGCGACGGCAACCATAAAATGGTCACCACAGGAGGTGGGGCAATACATAAACACACAGGAATCCCCAAGTACAGAGGACAATAGGAGTGAGAAAGAGAATACAACCAACATTGTTGTGATAGCGGCTGTCAAAACAACATTGTTCCAGTTTGGCCCATAGAGATCTGATTCGTTGTGCAATCAGAAGCCTTGGTGGGTGGGAGCCCCCCCCCCCGGTCCAACTCACTTTCTCAAAACGCCTAGCAGCAGGCACCAGGAAAGGTGCTGGCGGGTGCCAGGGTGCCTGTGGGTACCATGTTGGAGGCCCCTGCTTTAATGCACACCAATGAGGTCAGCTTTGGGTAATCACAAATAATTATATTTAGTTATTAAATGGTAGAGTTTAAAATGCTATCGACAGTGGGCCAGAGTATGCACTCCCTGGACCCAACTTGCCCGCCCTGCAGCCACACGGCAGCTGCAGGAAGCTGCTTTCTAAAGGACCACAAGGGGCCTGATTCAGCTCAAGATGATGGCACGGAGGGTGAAGAAGAAGTGGCTGCCTCCCCTCCCCCACAGTTCTCCCAAGCTGGAATAGCCAGGGGGAGTTATTTACCCCATTTGGGAGCTATATAGGGAACCCAGACCCCGCTCATCAAAAAATGTAATTTGCAGTCCAGCCCACTTTCTCATAGGAGCTGCGGTGGCTCAAGTGGTTAAGACGCTGAACTGCAGGCTGTGGAAGGTCGGTAGTTCAGCAGTTCGAGACCCGGGTGCCGCATGACAGAGTGAGCTCCCGTCTCTAGTTCCAGCTCCTGCCAACCTAGCAGTTCGAAAGCAAGAAATTGCAAGTAGATAAATAGGTACCACTTCGGTGGGAAGGTAACAGCGTTCCGTGCGCTTTGGTGTTTAGTCATGCCAGCCACATGACCACGGAAACGTCTTCGGACAGCGCTGGCTCTTCGGCTTTGAAACGGAGATGAGCACCGCAACCCTAGAGTCGGACTCGACTGGCTTTCGAGCAAGGGAACCTTTACCTTTACCACTTTCTCATGCTTGTGGTTAGGGAAGCTTCTGACACTCACAGGCAAAGTGGCATAGTGGCCTAAAACAGTTAGTTGCGCAGGGGAGTGGAAAACCTGTAGACCAGTTTTGGTGAGGGAAGGAGATATAGTTCACTTGGCTGGGATTAAAAAAACACAAAGGGAACAGCTGGGGATGGGGAAGAAGCCCCAGAAGGCTGACGGGGGAGAAAGAGCAGAGCTGGCAACAGACTGAGAAACTGAAGGAAGGACAGATGGGGGGACTGAGGAAATAGGCAGAGATGAACGGGAATTGTGGGAGGGTGGGGCTCATCAGAGAGGGGGTGGCTCTGAACTGGCATCATAGCACTTAGGAGGGGCTGTGAGCTATCGGGGCGGGGGATGGGAAAGCAGAATGCTGAGAGAACTGGTCAAGAAGCAGGGAGACTGAACAAAGTGCCTCATATTGGCAATGCCCTGGAAAAGCATGAATGTGGTGGTATGATGCAATGTTGAAGGAAGGAAATGTAAAGGAGACAAAATAGGACTGTGAAAACTTATGCCAATTTTAGTTTTACCCCCCCCCCCCATGCCATTGTGCCTAATGGCACAAAAGAGTCATGGCTTATATAGTTATAAACCGTTAGGACAAACAGATCCTGATATAAACACAACGGCAATACAAAGACCACAAAAAGCCAGAAAAACTTTGCTGCCAGGAAGGATGCCAAGATGGTAAAGCAGCTATAAATAATCTAAATTAATTAAGAGTAAGAACATAATTCACAGCACTAGTGTAGAAGCACCCACCAAAAAAAAGGCAAAAACAGAAGAAGCAGTGAAACAAATTATTTGCTACACTAACGGAATCTTCAGCACTCCCAGGTGTGTATCTCAGAGTATCCCTTCGAGTATCCCAGAGAACACATGAGTTTTCCCAAATAACGACCCCCCCGCCCCCAGCGTGTGACGTCACTTCCGGGTGACGCGCGCGCACAAAGAGGACGCCGTTCGGGAGCCCCCCGCTCCCGGACGAATTTCATTTGGCAACCCTACCTGGAGCTGGCAACCCTAGTCAGGCCTGGCCCCAATGAATTCCTCACAAAGCCCTGGACAGGGTTTCCTTCATCTTTTTATTTACAGAACCAACCTTGGTTGCCTAGCAACAGCCATTGAGGGATAAGTTAGTCCAAAAGAAGTGGACCCAGGACACAGCCAATGACACACGAGTATTCTTGAGTGGCGATTGAATGGCCAATGGCAGATGGAGTACATAGCACAGCCAATGGGAGAGCTGGAAATGGCCAACGTGTATATAGGATTATACTTGATAAAATCACAACACAAATTGTTGCATGTGAATACAGGTAATATCTGTTAATTCTCATAAATGGAGATGTCATGATCTGGGCTGTGCCATCAGAGGCCTACTAGGCCCAGGGAGCCTGGCTAGCAGTAGGTGAGGCTGGGCCTACAACTCCCAGAAGCCCCTGGGAGGTTTGGGGGCCAAAATGGACCAATAGGAAAAGAGGAGGGGGGAATAAAAGTTCTGGAGCAGCAGGAAGAGCTGTTCTTTCTTCCAGAGGGCAGAGCCAGAAGGAAGGCTGCTGCAGGGGAAAAACCCTCATCCTGAGGGAGGGGGGAGTAGTCTAAGGCCACTTGAGATAGTGAGCTAGGGACAGTATATATTTAGACGCGTTAGGGCATTTGATTTCTTTTCACCCACTTACTGTTGTTATTCTGCACCTTGTTGTTTGACCTCCTATAAAATAAACCTTTTCCTTGTTTTACTCTGCCTGGTCCTCACGCCTGTTATTCGGCCTAAAGGGAGGTCTGAAGGTCTTGGGAGGGTGCTCTGGGCCTTCTCGAGGGAACCTAAATCCAGAGTGGTGGCAGCGTCAGGTGACACCCCACCTGAGCCGTGACAGGAAATTAATGGTTATCCACAATTATAAATATCTATGGCGCTTTACATGGTATTTTTCCTTGTGGTTTTTTTTCCATGTCCGTGTGGGCTTTTATGTATATGAGCTTTTTTCCGCGTGGGCATTTTTCCACGTGGGCTTTTTTCCTGTGAGCATTTATGACAGTGGGTTTTTTTCCCCGTGGGTTTTTTTTTTCCTGTGGGCTTTTTTCCAGTCACTGTATTTAGATGGGAGACCTCCAAGGAATACCAGGGTTGTGATGCAGAGGCAGCCAATGGCAAACCACCTCTGAACGTCCCTTGCCTTCAAGCCCCACTATGGGTCACCAGAGGTCAGCTTAACCTGATGGCAAAAAATAGAGAGGGCCTTTTCAGTGGCAGACCCACAAATTTGCAACAACCTCCCCAAGGAGGTGCGCCTTGCCCCCTTTGCTTTCGATCTTTACAGGGCAGTTGAAGACAGTATTAAGACTGCATTTGACTAAAGTCTGCATTTGACTCATTTAATTTTTTGTTTAGTAACACTCCTCATCATGATTTTAAACTGTAGTTTTATTTTTTTAATATAACTGTTGTTTTATTTACATTGTTAGCTGCTTTGAGTTCCACAAGGTAGAAAGGCAACTAATATACGTTTTAAATAAACAAATAAATATATTGGATCCTTAGGTGAAAGTAACATGGTAGATCTTAATGTAATTCTTCAGCTCTCACCTCTCTGGAAGAACCAGCTGATCCCAGACCTGGACTTCCTCTGATAAATCCATTCCCAGGGCTGGCAGAGTCCAGAGATCCAAGGTCCAGGGTACTGGGTTTGGTAGGAGTGGCAGCATCTGGGGGTATGTTGTATTCCTTGGAGTCTGCGCCAAGATTCTGGTCTTCCAGTGCAGGATCAATGGATGCTCCTGAGGGGTGTGGGGTTGAAATCAGCATTCAATCAGTCAAAACACAAAAACAATCAATTGGTACTGAAAAAACATCTGGCTTTAACAGTGTGCCCGAAGTGTGAATGCATAAAGCATGCAAGGAGCTGAAACGAACTGTGCTGTGTACGGCTGCTTTCAAATATCACAATAAACTATAGTGTGTTTAAGAAGAAGAAGAGATTGGATTTATACCCCGCCCTTCACTTGGAGTCTCAGAGCGGCTTACAAACTCCTTTCCCTTCCCCTCCCCACAACAGACACCCTGTGAGGTGGGTGGGGCTGAGAGAACTCTGACACAAACTGCTCTTTTTCAAGGACAGCTGTGCCAGAGCTTGTGACTGACCCAAGGTCACATCAGCAGGTGCAAGTGGAGGAGTGGGGAATCAAACCCGGTTCTCCCAGATTAGAGTCCGCACACTTAACCACTACACCAAACAACAGCTTAGGCTATAAATGCTGGTTGATATATTAGACCTAAGTAACTAATCCCAGCAGTGCATCACATTCAGTTTGTCTGATTCCTGCCACCTACAAGGCCATCTTTCTACAGCACTGTCACTGTGGCCAGGACATCACAGAGGGCGGTGCTAATCATCAAACCGTGGTTTGCATATACAGACATCTCAAGAGTTCACAATGAATACAAATGATTAACAATCTGCCAAAGACCCCAGTTTGCAAACCTGATTTGGGGTCCCGTACCAGACTCCAGTTTGTCACACTGTTCCTGTTTCAACATTAAAAAAAGGGGTGTGAACAAGCCACAATTTATAAACCTTGTTTGAGTGGGAGATCTGAATTCAGCCTATGTGCACAGAGTTTTCAGCACCCATCTCTGTATGTGAACACTGGCAGGTGAGAAGCCACACCCAAGTCAGACAGCTGCAAACCATTTCATAATAATGGTCAGCAAAAAGTCTTCCATGCCCTGCCAGAACTAGGACAACAGCAGAGTCGTGCCCGACATACTGCAATGACTTGCTGTTCTCCACTGGAGAAACTCAGCTCCTAAGCCCTTACCTGTACCAGGGAGCTCCTCTTCAGTTACGTGACTCGAAGCCATTCCGTCCTGTTTCTCTTCTGCAGCTGGGATGTCTAATGCCAAATCCCTCTCTTCCAGCTCAGCAGCCATGCTTCTGGGGTGTGGGGAGAGGGGAAAAAAAGAAACCTTCAACCTTCAACTTGTTATTTTTGTTGGAAGCTGTTAGTTGTTCCCCAGAATTCCATTTTCCAGATGTTCGGCACATCAGCCCAGTGAATCGGTACCAATTCAGACAGCAGATGCCTTCTAGATATGCTGTGACCAAGCTTAGCTGCAATTTTACCCTTCTCCAGTTTGTGCCACACCCTGAAAGATGCTGGATCACCAGCTGACCTCTTGAACACTCCCGAGCCATCCGATCAGGAAAGTAATTCTATTACAGCTTCTACTCTACCTCTTTTCAAAAAATTTTTTTTAAAAAAAATAGCTACGTACAGGAAGAAAGAATTCTGGATTTTCTTATCGAGAAAAAGGTTGCTCTTGGGAAACCTCAGTGGGACTACTCTCTCGTTTGAGCAAGAGGTCACTGATTTTTCCAAGAGATACTGCTTTTCTTAATGAGCCAGAGAGGAAGTCCCATCTCTGGGCAAGTTCCAACACCATCCTTTGCAGTTTCGCTCCCACTGAAAGTATGAGCAGATCATGACATCAGCAGCAGCTTCCCATAGGCATTTAGGTATTCTGATACATGCTGCTGATGAAATGACAGTCCTGAAATTTAGTTGCACAAAACTCTCTCAGGCTGTAGCATTTGGTACAGCTGCAGCGGAATGTAGGAGGAGCCAAATATCAGTTATAATCAATGTTCCCTCTAAGCTGTGGAGTCCTGTGAGCAAAAATTCTACTTTGTGAGCTACTGGCATTAAAGTTGTGAGCGAGCCATTTGGCTACATAAATCAGTTTCCTCTGGAGCCCTCCTTCCTGAGCGAAGACAAAAATGTGTGAGCTGGAGGCTAAAAAATTGTGAGCTAGCTCACACTAACTCAGCTTAGAGGGAACACTGGTTATAATGCCTTCCAAAGTGGAGGCCTTAGGGTCTTTGCTGTTGTTTTTCTAGTGTGGTAGTTCACAACGAGTACAACAAACTTCAAGACTGCCTGCCATAAGCAGTTGTCTAGCCAGAGCAACTAGGATGGCACTCTATTTTATGATAACCATTGCAATGAATATTGAGAATCTTATATATGTGCCTGGAATTTAAAAAAAGACCAATAAATTAAACACAGAGAATCTTGATCAAAGAATTTGTGCTCAAGGGGAAGGGAAATCTTAGGGCCGAATAACTTGTCAAGTTTTACTCTGTAAGCTAAAAGCTGCAGGGGAAGGCAGCAATTTTTGGATGGAACGCAGCAGGAAATGCAAAGATTAAAAAGGTCCCCTTCCCAACATATAAAGAAAATATTTATAAAATGTTTCACAAATAGCACTGGTCACCTGATAAAATAGCTAAGTGTTATTCAACTGTTAACAATAGGTGTTGGAAATGTAAAACTAATGTAGGAACATTTTTTCATATGTGGTGGAGATGCGGGAAAATCCAAACTTTCTGGCTTAAAATATATAAGATTATACAAGAAATACTGAATATCAATTTAGCCTTAACACCAGAAATCTTTTTGTTGAACATGATCCTGGATGGTTATAAACAAAATGATCTGTATATGGTGACTTAAATTTTAATGTCAGCTAGAATTTTATTGGCTAAATGTTGGAAAATGGAGAAAACCCCTTCAAGAGAGGAGATAGTCCAAAAATTGTTGGAATTAGCGGAAATGGACAAATTAAATGTTGTTTTATTAAGGAATGATGAAGAACTATATTTAAAACGATGGTTAAGAATTTATAACTGGATAGAAAATAAGCTGGGTGATTAGACTAAAAAAAAATTATTGTAACCAAAGGAATGTACCGATTGTTTTGAAAAATTATAAATAAATTTATATATAAAAAGGTCCCCTTCCCCATATCAGTTTCCCCTTAAAACTGCAGCCCCAGCCCCAGAAGACAGTAAAAAGTATAACAAAACCACATTGTAAATGTTCAGTTCCACCTCCTATCCCCAATATAAGATGCTATGTTGGAACTGACCCTTCTCCTTTCCCTGGGGAATGCCCCAGCCAACCAACAACCAACCTGATTCTGCCTGGATGCCAGTCCTGATCAAAACGAAGTTGTAGTTGCAACCCTGCACTATCCCTCCAATTACAACTTTTTACTAAGGATCAGAACATAAAATTCCCCATAGCAAAGACCTTAAACATTGCCACCCCCAGGAGTCTGTAAGCAGAAAAGCCAGCAAGCACAGGGGCTGCCCACCTGGAAGAAAGGGAAGTAGAACTGGTTGGAGACTCGTCACTCCTTGAGCTTAGGGATTCTGCAGCATCTGAGAAGCGGTCTTCTGGCTGCAAAGCAAATAGAAAACCAGAGTGTCCATTACTTCACAGGTAAGTGGCAGTGGGCCAATTCATGCAACTGTGACGGACTGCACTTTTAAAAGCTTACAAGTGCTGTGTAAACAGACTATGAAGGGTTAATTTCTCACAGAACCAGAGAGCCTTGAGTGACAGGCTGTTCCAAGAGATCTGATTAGTCAGCATCAGCTGAGCAGAGAAAGACTTCTGAACTGGATGCTGAGGAGAATTCAGTCTGATTTCAGTCCTAGCTGAGAAGAACGGAGTACTGACAATTTCAGAATTCAGCACTGACTGAGAGCAGTTTAACACAGACGGGAGAACTGGGGAAGTTGGCAAGGAGGGGTGGATAGTCAGACGGAGATCCCAATCAGACCAAAGAAAAGGGATGGATCTTCTAGCGAGAGGAGAATTTCACTATTCAGTTAAACAGGGAGTTAGCTCTGAAGCGTGCAGAGAACTCTGGTCTGGTCTGGTTAGAAACTACCCATAGAAACCTTAAAGAGTTAGTTAAAAACTCAAGACAAGTACTGGTGTCTCAAGAGAAGGGGTTTGGGTACAGGAAAGAGTAGTACCAGCCTTCTGGAAACCAAAAGAGTCAGAGGATACTCATAGAAAGTGTACTGGAGAGTTTGGTGGAAACCACGGAACAAAAGCCTATCAACATAAAGACTTAAGTCACTGTGAAAAGCTTAAGAAACTCTCATTAGCTGGAACCATAAGAACTAAAGTCTGCACATGTACTGATTTTCAACCCCTGATTTCACCTGACCTTTCCTCTCTATGCTAAATAAAATATTTTGTTATTTTTGAATTTCAAAATGCCTCGAATGCCATTTAAGTTGTTTCAGTTAAAGTGGGCTCCTGATCCTTCCCTCATGTTCCTGGGCTGAGCCAACAGCCAAAGCATCGTACTGTGACAGGGTGGGACAGCCAGAATTCTTCAGCAAAGAAAACACATTACAAGGGCAGCTCAGTCAGTAAAGAGAAAAAGAGAGAGAGGGAAAACCTTGCCTCTGAGGGAGGGAAGTGGGCGGGGCTGTCATAGCAACATAAACATGATGCCATCAGCTTTCAATTGAGTCAAAAGTGAAACTGAAGGGGAAGAGTCCTGAAAGCAAGGGAGTGGCAAAGTGAGATTAGTGGATGTGAAGAGTTTCTGGATCTGAAGATGAGATCACCAGTGGATCTGAAGATTAGTCTCTGGGACACACAAATTTATTGCTTTACTTTGTTTATTTCCCATTTTTCTTCCCAATGGGGACCCAAACTGGCTTACAACATTCTCCTTCTCCATTTTATCTTCACAACAACCTTGGGTAGTAGGTTAGGCTACCTGTATATGACTGACCCAAGATTCCATGGCAAGATTCAAGTCTCCATAGCAGAGCATGGATTCAAATCTGGGTCTGCCAGATCCTATTCTGATGCGCTACTCACTAAGAAAAACTAGATGATCTGCCTAACCAGCCCCCCCCCCCAGCTACAGAATTTGCTGCTTGAGGTGGCCAACCCAGTATGACCAGGCTTGGAAGTAGAAGACCAATTACTGTTTAATGAGGAAAAAATTGGAGAAAAGGAAGTAAAAGGCAATTTTGCAATATGCTGTAAACCACACACAAATGCTTCAGATGTAGCTCTCCCCTTAACAAAAAAAGAAGAAGCAAAGTCTTGTGCATTATAAAGAGGAATGTGCCTGCATCCAGTGAGCACCTCATCATGCTGGTATAAAATATTTCTGTGGGCAAATGCAACAAGGCCACATAACTCACTGAGGTCCTTTCCGCACTTGGATCTCATCCCTGGTTTTATCAGAGTTCAACTCGCAACACAATACTTTGCATTTCTCCCTGGTTATAACAGCATCTGTTTATCCTGGGACAAGTGTGGGGCAAAACCAGGGTGAACTCGAGTGTAGTGTAGAATGTAAAAATACCCTGAGATAATTACAGGGGTAAACCTGAGTGTAGTGTAGAATGTAAGTTTGGGGACAGGGTCAAAGCAGGATTTAAGGTCTAGTGCGGAATCACCCTGAATCAACCTCACAGGGTAGTTGTGAGGATGAAGTGGGATATTCCTTTGCATACCATTCTGAGCTCTTGAAGTGATTGGGGGTGTGGGGGGTGTGGAGCAGAGAAATAAAAATGAGACTAGCGGATTAGGCAGGTTCTAAAACCAGAGCCCTAGAAGGACTGCCTCCTCCCACATTGCCCAGTCGTCCAGTTAAGATCCTCCTCTCAAGTTCTGTTCTCTGTACCCCCCCCTCCCCAGCCTTCAGAGGTGCTGGGGAACCAGAGACAGGGCTTCTTCAGAGCTGGCCCCTCATCTGCAGAATGCTATCCTACTCTCTGTTAGGTGGCAAGCCAAAAAAATTTAAATTTAGGCTTTTAATTAAGGCATTGATCTTTTAAAGTTGTTTTTCCCAGTCTACTTCTATAGCCCAAGACATGTTTTACAAGGCTCCCTTTAAGCTGCGAATGTTGTATGCAATTTTTATGCTCTGCCTGGGTTTTTAATCATTTATTAAATGTCATGCCATTGTATGCTTGTTATTTATATATAAAAGAAAAACAACAAATGAGTTAAAACACAGTATTTAAATAAGTAAAACCACAACATATAAAACCATAGGTGCCAGTAATATAGATGTCAATAAGTACTAAAAAGTGATGGTGGTATGCTCTCAGCATCCAGGCAGTCAGCCACCACCACAGTCTGGGCTCCCGCCAGGCTGTTGTATATTAAATTTGGTGCAGTGGTCAATGTTCCCTCTAAGCTATGGAGTTCTGTGAGCAAAAATTCTACTTTGTGAGCTACTGGCATTAAAGTTGTGAGCAGGCGATTTGGCTACTGCATCAATTAGTTTTCTCTGGAGCCCTCCTCCCTGAGATAAGACAAAAATCTGTGAGCTGGAGGCTAAAAAACTGTGAGCTAACTCAGCTTAGAGGGAACACTGGTAGTGGTTAAGTGCACAGACTCTAACCTGGGAGAACCGGGTTTGATTCCCCACTCCTCCACTTGCACCTGGCTGGATGACCTTGGGCAAGCCGTAGTCCTGATAAGAGCTGTTCTTGGGAAAAGAGCAGTTTCTGTCAAGAGCTCTCTCAGCCCCACCTACCTCACAGGGTGTCTCTTGTGGGGAGGGGCAGGGAAAGGAGTTTGTAAGCCGCTCTGAGACACCTTTGGGTAGTGAAGGGCGGGGTATAAATCCAATCTCTTCTTCTTCTAAATCGGTGCTGATGTTGGGTCCAGGGCCATAACATTAGGAGGCGGCACCCTAATCAAAAGCCTGGTGGAAGAGCTCCGTTTTACAGGCCCTGTGGAACTGTAAAAGGTCATCTGGGAGCTCATTCCACCAGTACGGGGTCGCCACAGAGAAGGCCCTGGCCCTCGTCACAGTTGCTTAGCTTCTGAGATCTGATGAGACTGGGCTTGCCTGGGCTATCCAGGTCAGGGCAGCTGGAAGGCATCCTTGAATAAGCATATCCCCAGATTTGTTTCTTTCAGCATAATGAGCATTTCATCTAATAGGAGCCTATACCTACAAAGCCGCATCAAATCCCCACAAGTTTTCCACAGCAGAAGGCCATAGCCTGGCTCCCGCATGTGGGGCTTGTCCAATACAGAATCGCTGGAGTCCAAACACAAGCATCTTTTCTGCCTTCCTCTGTAAAAGAGGCCCTCAAACTGTGGTTAGACATGGAAAATGTGTGTTCAAATTCCAATTCTGCTGCAAAGTTCACTGGGTGAATTCGGGTCCATCATGGCCTCTCAATCTAAAGAGGGTTTTTGTGAGCACAAAATGGGAGGGTGGAAGCCACATTCACTACTCTGAGATCCACGGAAAAAGAACAGGAGAAAACTGGAAAGATTGCAGAGCTGGCTTACCTGCTGCTGAGGAGAGCCAGGGTAGCTGGGAATGGAAAGACTTAGTGGGATTTTCTTCAGCACCAAAGTCACCCGACTTGGTGTTTCGAGCAGCTTCTTCACCAGATTCATCCGAGTCCAACCCACCTGCATGATCAACAGAAATTGGCTTTCTGGAGGCAATGATATGCAGGGCCTGCACAGGTTACAGCTTTTCTGGCCTGCTGCTTCAAGGCTGGAGCACAACCCTAAGGGAGCAACTGGCATATAGCATAAGAACATAACCTATGTATACCAGAGTCAGAATTCCCAGAGCACGTGGATAGACGAGGAGACCAGGTTGCTGTGATAATTGGTCTTTTACTTAAGAATTCCCAATCATACAACAATGATTAGCAAACACACGCACACTCTCAGTACAGGACTAGTAAATTAGGCAGGAAAAGACAGTGACTTTCACATTAGCAGGAATACCGTTGGTGGGAGATAGGTTACCTATCTGGCGAGATGAGTAGACCTTACAGTGAAAAGGGAAGAAAAAAAGCAAGAGGGAATGGATCGTAAGCCATCCGGTGACACGCATGGAGTGGTCCCAAACTGATCAGGGATGGAACCTGAAAGGTGGGGTGGGGGTGAGATAGGTAACTGCATTCGCAGAGAGTTTGCCTTAAGTAGCCAATTTGTGACCTGGGACAAGAGCCGGGTGGTCACTGGTTCCCAGGAAATGTATAGGACAAAAACAATACCTTGGATGGATAGGACAAAAGAAGCGATGGTTGGACAATTTAGGGTTGATGTGCGGCAGGGAGTGACACCTCTTGGGGAAGGAGTGAGACAAAGGAAAGTCCTGATGGAGGCATCAAAAACTCATTGAATAATCTGGAGGATGAGTTGACTGCAGCCTGTTTCTTGTTGTATGTCTCAAGTCTTGAGGGCTGGATCTACTTGCTGTTTGCAACATACTTTATACTGTTCATGTACTTGCTTTATGGACATTTGAAGATCATGTTCTTCAATCCATTGAAATTGTGAACTTAGAATCTGTGAAGTATTTCTTTTGGGAGTGTCCACTAGTAAATGTTAGATATTGCTTTACATCTCCAGCCTATTATTGCAGTTCATGTATTTCATGTATTGAATACTGGTGTATGTTTGAGAAATATTTGGAGTCTTATGTGATGTTAAACCATACATGATTTATATTTATTCATCTGTTTCCTTAATTCATTGTTAGTTTATAAAGAAAAGGCAAGCAGATTCTGTAAATGGATTATATGTGTGTTCACTGAAAACTGTGAACTCCTCCCTTGGACACAGAAATCCCAGCGACCAAAGTGCGAGCTGTGGGGAGTTAGCCTTGTGCAAAAGGAACTCCCAATTTCAGCCCAGAAGAGATCATTTTACAACTTATTTGGCACAGCAATTCATCCTGCCTGATGCATGAGCCATCAAACCCAAGTAAGAAAGAGACCCAGACTTACCACCACCTGGTCATTGACTTGGACTATCTCATCCCCCGGGAGGACCCTGTTGTAGTGCTCGACTGGGGACTGGAAAGGAGGGTGAGAAGAGAAGAAAACGTCAAACAACATCAAAATCAAGACTTTCCTTGCTGGAAGGAAGAAAGGTGGGCACTCTTTTTCAGGAGAGTGAAAGTCAAGACTAGGGAACAGGGAGGGGGTGCTGGAGAGGGAGATTAACTATTAACTTCAAGCTCTGACCTTTTCAGTAATTTCCAGCTCCGTAACCTATGTGAGGGAATGAGAAGGGAACCAAGTGTGCAGAGGAACTTGAAAATGTTCTGGCAGAGCTTAGTGTGATGCAGAGTCCCTGGTGGGCATACTAGGGAAGAGGGGAATTTGAGTGGGTTAGGTACACTTTGAGGAAGAAACATCAACTCCCTCCCTCACAAGGTCATTTTGGAGACCTGAAGTCATGGGGGCAGGGAAAGGGGGAGAGGGAAGGGTCTATTTTAAGACATGAGTTAATATTACCTTCCTCACCAAGAGAGTATGTCTGACTGGAAAAGCCAAAGCCAGAAATAAGCCCGTACCTCATTAGCCCCTTTCCTGACTCACCTCTGGAGCAGTCCCTGATATGAAATGGAGACAGGAGGGAGAGGATTTGATCTCAATGCCCTGAGGAGAGAAGATTTAGGAGAGACAGCTATCAACACGTGACACAGCCGAAGTCGGCAGGCTCTGTATTAGAAAGACTAGAACTTCGAATCTGGCATTCAGCAAGGTGGCTTCCGGACTGCGCCAGTGGAATAAATTACAGAATTATTCAGCCAGTACACACAGTTTAAGATTAACATAATTGTTAAGAGAATGGGCTGCAGACCAAGAAGTCCCTGGTTCAGATCTTGGCTCTGTCATAAACTCATTTGAATGTTTTATAATTACTATTATCCCTATTCTGTGGATAGGGGACTAACGCTGAATACAAATAGATTTGCCTGAGGCTGCCTATTGACTAACAGTAAGAAATGTTCCTACTTCAAATCTCAGCTGAGCCTACAATATTTAGAGAAGCCATTGTCCCCCACTCAGTTTATACAGCCCTACCTCACAGCGGGGTTCCTACTAAAATAAGTGTGTTGCATGTTGAATATCATCATCATATTAAGAACATAAGAAGATCCCTGCTGAATCAGATGAGCATCCTGTCTCACATAGTAGCCAACCAGTTCCTCTGGAGGGCCAGCAACACCAGGACATAGAGGATGAGGTCTTCCTCTCATGTTGCCTCCTGGCACTGGGATTCAGATGTTTAATGTCTCTACATGTGGAGGTTCCTTTTAGTCACCATGGATAGTATCCACTGATAGACCTGTCCTTCATGGATCTGTCTAATCCCCTTTTAAAGCTGTCTGTGCCTGTGGCCATCACTACATCCTCTGACAGCAAATTCCAAATTTTAATTGCTCGTTGAGTAAAGTACTATTTTCTTTTGTCCATCCTGAATCTACTTCCCATCATCTTCACTGGATGCCCTCAAGAGCTAGTATTTGGGAAGAGAGAGAAAAAGTTATCTTTTTCTACTGTCTCTGCCCTGTGCATAACTTTATAAACTTCTATCATGTTCCCCCTTAGTTGTCCTACAATTGTGTTGCATTAGCATTTCTTTCTCCACATATCTATATAATCCCACTCTCCCTCCCGGGAGCCCAAGCTATGTACCTTGTCCATAATCACCCTGCATGGCTCCTTAGGATGAGAAAACAACTGGCTCAAGGTCACCCTATGCACTCCTTCTGGGGATCTGGACCCAGGTCTCCCCAAGCATAGGCCAAGACTCCAGCAACTACAATACCCTAGCACACAGACAGCTGCTGCATGCCAGGGGTGGATCGGTAGGCTTGGTATCTGGACATGACCCTGTCAAGACAGCCAGACTCACCAAACTGTCTTCTGGCCCTGCTTGTACAAGTGTCACCGTCTCCAAGACGGCAGTTTGATTCAGAAGGTCGGCTGGACTGTAGCTCAAGATATGCTCACAGATCCCCGATATGTGCTTGCCCTGTAGGATACAAAGAGATTAAGACTGTTCTTTACGGATTCAGAGATGACTCTCATGAACAAGGCTACACAAAGGGTTAAGGGAGGCAAGACATGTGGAACAGGATTTTGACATTTATAAGACTGACTCTCTGCTGTATTGGCCAGTTTTTTAAATTAGCAGTCACCGTTTTTCAACAAAAGAACTTCAAAGGGAGACTGGAGAACAGAATTCGTCAAGAGATATGCATTCCCCAAGGCTCAAATAATTACCAGGCATTCCAGTGTTAAGCAATAATTATATTAGCAAAAGGTGGGGTTGTCAATGCAATCCTAAAAGCTTTACTCTTCCAAATCCATTGAAGTTCATGGGTTTAGAAGGGTGTAACTCTGCTTAGGATGGCACTGTGCATTTCACCAGTGTCTGCTATTAAAAACAGCAACTGGAATTGTTTTGACAACATCCCAATTTAACATCATAATGACAGATTCTGCAGCTTCCTATTGGACGGCCCTTTAATTCTTGCTGTTTATGTTGCTTTCTCTCCATAACCATATATCTGCCAATTCAGGATCAACTTCATATGTCTGATGAAGTAGTCTCTAGTCCACAATTAAAGGGTGTCTTTGGCGTGCACCCAGGTTCTTGTTTATTTCCATGGTGAAGCTGCCGAAAATTAAAACGGACGCTGAAGAAACTGTTAAGAAACACCTGGGAAGATTCAGTACGATTTAGTTTAAATTCTTGACATGTACATGCCTATGAACTCCCAAGATAGGAAGAAGGGATTTCTACCAAAAATGGCAGAAGAAGAGCTCAAGGGACGCTATGTGTGTTCCACCCTAACTAAGCTCTTCCTACCTCTGCACAAAATCCACAGAATACTTACTATCAGTAATATCCGGTCTTCTCTTTCAGAGACTGTGCAGTCCTGCAAGAATAAGGACAACAAAGCTGACTGACTGTAAGTGGGATGATCCTTTGGCAGCCCCAGAGCAGTGTTCCCTCTACGCTGAGTTAGTGTGAGCTAGCTCAGACCGTATTTCTTTAGCCTCCAGCTCACACATTTTTGTCATAGCCAAGGAAGGACGGCTCCAGAGCAAACTAATTTATGCAGTAGCCAAATCACTCATTCACAACTTTAATGCCAGTAGCTCACAAAGTAGAATTTTTGCTCACAAGACTCCACAGCTTAGAGGGAACATTGCCCCAGAGTTATAAAACTTTGCAGCCATTTACATTGTACTTGAGCCTCCTTGTACATATAAAGCTGCCTTATGCTGAATCAGTCCATCAGAGTCAGTACTGTCTACTCTGACTTGCCGTGGCTCTTCAGGGCCTCAGGCACAGGTCTTCCCCATCACCTACTTCCTGATCCTTTTAAACTGGAGATGCAAGGGATCGAACCTGAGACATTCTGTACGCAAAGCAGGTACTCTGCCACTGAGCCACAGACACCCCCCCCCCTTATGAGGAAAGGCCTCACACCCTCCCAGAATCATTGTTAGCAAAACAACCACATTTCCCACAAAATGTAATGATCCAGCATGCCAACCTGTTTGACCCAAACACTGAGGAGGACTGAAAGACCTCAGGGTGTGAGCCCAAGGTTTCGCCACCTTTGTCAAATCTCCAGGGGATGGTATTAAACCTTAAAATGAAGAGCCAGAGGAGACAGAGAAACTGTTCTTCAAAGTCCTTCCCTAGACATCTTTCCCATTCTAGGAGAGACTGACTGGCAGGAGAACATAACAGCTCATAGCCGACTTTTCTACTGGAACAACCTATGGCTGTTTCTTTAAATTACATGTATATTTTCTATTGTTGTAAGATCTTTGGGTCTTCTTGGGGAGGAAAGCAGGGAATAAATGTTTAGGGAAATAAAGCAACAGTGCAATCCTAAACAAAGTTACACCCTTCTAAGCCCACTGATTTAGGATGGCGCTGTAAGTATGCCTATAGAAGAAAGATAAGCTCTGCTTGCTATGGAGCATCTTGCAGGAACAGGTTGCCCTTCCGTGTTCTGCAGATTACTGCTCTTCTCCTCTCAGCCAAGGACCTGGATTTATTTCGGAGCAAAGGTGTTGGTGGGAAGGAACACAGTAGCACAAGGCAGACTCTTGCTAAGATGAAAGACGAAAGGCTGGATTCAGACAAAATAGGCATTTCCCATCAATTCCCCCTTTCCACTGCAGCCCCACACCATTCCATGGGGCCCTTATTTCCCAAAAGCATAATTTCATGGAGATCAGTGGGCTACAGTGAGAGGGGTAGTTTGGAAACTTGTATTCTGCCCCTGGAACATTTAATCCAGATCCAACCCACTATGCTTCATACCAATAACACCTCTGCTTGTACTAATGGTCAAGAATAACTCTGCTTTTGCTATTTGAAGGAATTTACAAGACAACTGAATAGGATATAACAAACCTTATAACAGTTCTGCAAGGTAGGCCAGTATATCATCATCCCTGTCTTGCCCGGGGGGGGGGGGGGCTGGAGCTGAATGCTGTCTGCCTCAGGCCACCTAGTAACCTTGTAACTGAGATGAATCAGTTGCTTCACAGCCCACTCCTTTAGCCACTATGCTATCCAGCTAAAAAAACCAATGCTCCTTTGGAAAGACAGACGTGTCACTCTCTGCCACTTCTGCAACACGAAACACTTAAGCTGGCTTTTTTCTTCCTACTGTGACCCCCAACATTATTTTCCCTGCATTCCCTCAGATGGTTTACCAGGATTATTATCTCACACATTCCAGCCCTGGAGAACCGGGGGGGGAGAGGGGGGGAGAGGGAGAGAGAGAGAGAGAGAGAGAGAGAGAACACACCCAGGGGCAACTGACAACCCTAGGGGGGGATTATCTGAGCAGACTCACTGATTCTGTCCTTCCTTTTGCCGAGCTGCGTCTGATTTAAAATGGAGATTCCCCCCAAACCCTACCCACTCAGCCCTGACCCCGAAGAGTGACTCACAGGATTCTTTCTATAAGAGAAATCTGGCTCACTCTCCCTTCTCATTTCTGTTTACCTCCCTCTTCTCATTCCTTCCCCTCCCACCCTGGTCAGCTGCCATTTCCCTCAGTTCATTTGAGTTCAGAATCTGATCTCTCAACTTCTGTCAATCAACATGGGGCAACGGCACAGATACGAAATGGGTAACCAGGTGTCCAGACCCCGAGACACTCGGCTGAGGGAGCATTCTCAGAGCAGCAGGTGGAAATCTCAGGGAACTCAGCAAACTTCATGTATCTTCTGAAGTGCTTTGGCACTTCTGTTTCACTCACTGAAAGAGCACAGTATGCAAATGGTCTCAACATATGTGGTTGCTATTTTGTGTGACCTGATCAATGCATATGTTTTCCTGCTTTGATGTACATGATAGGAAACACCAGCATTGTAAGCACGTGTTCGTGCATACGAAAGTTGGAAAGATACATGTGTTGCCCTAGTCACACAAAAAGGTGTCCGTATGTACTGAGAGGATCATGTGTACCTTGCTCTCCCAGTGTGCGAGGTCAGACAACCAGAACTACAATGATTGAAAATGGTTTGAGATCTCTATGCTTGCCTGCTCATGGTAAATATTACAGTAATAGATTGCAGATAGGAAGTGCCTCCTAACCACATTTCATGTTAAGGCTAAGAACATAAGAGAAGCCAATGCTGGATCAAGCCAATGACCCATCCAGTCCAACACTCTGTCACACAGTGGCCAAAAATATCAGGTGCCATCAGGAGGTCCAGCAGTGGGGCCAGGACACTAGACGCCCTCCCACTGTTTCCCCCCGCCCCCCCCCCAAAGCACCAAGGATACAGAGCACCACTTGCCCCAGACTGAGAGTTCCTATCTATACCTTGTGGCTAATAGCCACTGATGGACCTCTGCTCCATATGCTTATCTAATTCCCGCTTGAAGCTGTCCATGCTTGTAGCCGGTACCACCTCCTGTGGCAGTGAATTCCATGTGTTAATCACTCTTTGGGTGAAGAAGTACTTCCTTTTATCTGTTCTAACTCAACTGCTCAGCAATTTCATTGAGTGCCCGCGAGTTCTTGTATTGTGAGAAAGGGAGAAAAGTCTTCTATCTCTACCTGCTGCATCCCATGCATAATCTTATAAACCTCAATCATGTCACCCCTCTGCCGTCGTTTCTCCAAGCTAAAGAGCCCCAAGCGCTTTAACCTTTCCTCATAGGGAAAGTGTTCCAACCCTTTTATAATTCTAGTTGCTCTTTTATGCACTTTTCCCAATGCTACAATATCCTTTTTGAGGTGTGGTGACCAGAACTGTACACAGTACTCCAAATGAGGTCGTACCATTGATTTATACAGGGGCATTATGATACTGGCTGATTTGTTTTCAATTCCCTTCCTAATAATCCCCAGCATAGCATTGGCCTTTTTTTATTGCACTTGCACACTGTCTCCACATTTTCAGTGAGTTATCTACTATGACTCCAGATCTCTCTCTTGGTCAGTCTCTGCCAGTTTGGACCCCATCAACGTGTATTTATAGTTAGTATTTTTGGCTCAAATTTGCATCAGTTTGCACTTGGCCACATTGAACCCCATTTGCCACGTTGACGCCCACTCACCCATCCTCAACAGATCCCTTTGGAGTGCCTCACAATCCTCCCTGGTTCTCACCACCCTGAACAACTTCGTGTTATCTGCAGATTTAGCCACTTCACTGCTTACTCCCAACTCCAAATTGTTAATAAACAAGTTAAAAAGCATCGGACCGAGTACTGATCCCTGTGGTACCCCACTACTTACCACCCTCCACTGAGAAAATTGCCCATTTATACTCACTCTCTGTTTCCTATTAATTAGCCAGTTGTTGATCCACAAAAGGACTTGTCTTTTTATCCCATGACTATTGAGCATACTTAAGAGCCTTTGATGAGGAACTTTATCAAAAGCTTTCTGGATACTAATTCTTTCCTTAATAACAGTTTCCACCAACTTACTCAGATCAACATCAGACTAACTGGCCTGTAATTTCCCAGATCCCCTCTGGAACCTTTTTTAAAGATGGGAGTGACATCAGCTACCTTCCAGTCCTCAGGAATGGAAGCAGATTTTAATGAAAGATTACATATTTTTGTCAGGAGATCCATAAGTTCACATCCGAGTTCTTTCAGAACTCTTGGATGTATGCCATCTGGGCTTAGCGATTTATCAGTTTTTAAGTTGTGTATCAGTCATAGGACCTCCTCTCTCGTCACCTCAATCTGACTCAGGTCTTTCAACACCCCTGCCGAAATCAGTGGTTCTGGAGTGGGCAAGCACTTCTCATCTTCCACAGTGAAGACAGAGGCAAAAAATGCATTCAGCTTCTCAGCAATTTCCCTATCATCCTTCACTACTCCTTTTACCCCTTGGTCATCCAAGGGCCCTACTGCCTCCCTGGCTGGTTTCCTGCTTCTAATGTATTTGAAGAAAGTTTTATTGTTGGCCTTTATGTTTTTTGCTATATGCTCCTCATATTCCCTTTTTGCCTGCCTGATCATAGACTTGCATTTTATTTGCCACAGTCAGTGTTCCCTTTTATCAACCTTACAGAGACTAGCTTTCCACTGCTTAAAGGAATCCTTCTTACCCTTTACAACTTCCATTACTTTGTTTATTAACCATGCAGGCTTTTTTCTATACCTATTTGTGCCTTTCCTAACCTGTGGTATATATTTTTCCTGAGCTGCTACGATTGTAATTTTAAATAGTCTTCAAGCTTCCTCAATGGTTTTTACCCTTTCTACTTTTCCTGTCAGTTTCCTCCTCACATGTCCCCTTATATCAGAGAATTTACCCCTTTTAAAATTAAAAGTGGTTGTTTCAGTCTTTTTGGGCAACTCCCTATTTATACAAATGTTAAACTCAATAACATTATGGTCACTATTCCCAAGTGGTGCAATCACTTTTACATCTCTCACCAGGTCTTGGGTGTTACTTAGGACCAAATCCAGGATCGCCTCTCCCTTGGTAGGTTCTGTGTCTAGAATGTGAGAATGTCTAGAAACTCAATCTCTTTTTCCCTAATTGAACACATATTGACCCAGTCAATGTGTGGGTAGTTAAAATCACCTATTACAACACAGTTATTTAGTCTAGCTGCTCTCTTTAATTCATTAATCATTTTATAATCCTCCTCTGTCTTTTGATCTGGTGGGCGATAAACTCCCAGTGTTAAGCTTCCTCTTGGGCCCACTATTTCAACCCATAGCATTTCCAGAAGTGAATTCAACTCTCTTACCCTCTCAATCTTACTGGACTGTATACCCTCTCTGACATACAGAGCCACCCCACCTCCAACCCTTCCCCCTTATCCTTCCGATATAATTTATAACCAGGAATCACTGTATCCCACTGATTTTCCTCATCCCACCAAGTTTATGAAATACCCACAATGTCTATTTTCCTCCCCAACACCAAGCATTCCAATACCCCGATTTTACCTTGGACACTTCTAGCATTTGTATATAAACATCTATAGCTTCCCATGCATGTTAAGCCCACAACCTCCCTCTTGCTGCCTCGAAACCTTGCCAGGCTAATATCATCATCCACAGTCTCAGTGGACAATTCTAATCCATTTTCTTGTAGAAAAGTAACAGCTATCCCTTCATCTCTTTGAGATGAGCCATCCTGAACCAGAGACTTTTCATCTCCTGTCGGCTTTCCCCCAATATTCAGTTTAAAAGCTGCTCTATCTTTTTGTTTTTAAGTGCCAGCAGCCTGGTTCCTTCTCGGGACAAGTGGAGACCGTCTCTTTTGTACAGCTCCCTCTTGTTCCAAAAAGCATCCTAGTGCCTAACAAACTTGAACCCTTCCCCCCTACACCATCGTCTCATCCAAACATTGAGACTCTTGATCTGTGCCTGTCTCTCCGGCCCTGCATGTGGAACAGGTAGCACTTCTGAGAAGGTACCTTGGAGGTCCTGGCCTTGAGATTCCTGCCTAGCAGCCTAAATTTTTCCTCCAGGACCTCACAACTGCATTTCCCCACATCGTTGGTGCCAACATGTACCACAACCATTGGCTCCCTCCCCAGCACTACCAGCCTGTCTGGAACATGCATAATGTCCACTACCTTTGCACCAGGAAGGGAAGTCACCCTACGGTCAAGTATGCGGGTTCGCCACCCAGCTGTCTACCTGCCTATGGATCGCATCACCAACTACCAAGAACCCTCCCTGCCAAGGGATGGTTCCTTGGTGTGAAAGGATACCTGTTCACCAGCTGAAGAAGAGGTCCCTTCTGAGGGCACATTCCCCTTATCTGCAGCACGGTGCCCTGTTTCCTCTCGACCCTCATGCTCCCTGACAGCGGTGGGGCTGCCATATTCTGAGTGGGACATATCTAAAGTCCCTGAGAGTCTTCTCCATGCATCTAACTGACTGTCTCTGGTTCTCCAGGTCAGCCACCTTGGCCTCAAGGCAGCAAACTCATTCCCTGAGAACCAGGAGCCCCTTTCACCGGGCACACACCCAAGACTTCTGTCCAGTGGGCAGACAGTCATACATGTGATACTCCATGCAAAACACTGGATAGCCCCCAACCCCCTGCTGGCATTCTGGCTATATATATCCCCCTTTTAAAACCCTTTGTATTTATGTGGTTCTCTTTGTAGAAGTCTACTTACCTTACTAGGAACCCAAAGAGACTAGGGCCCTGGCTTTCTGGCTCTTCCTGGGCTTCTTACAGCGCCCCTAATCTAAGAGCCACAGGCCAAGAGCCCTTTGGGTCATGCCTCTGGCAAGGTGCTGCCTTAATTAGAAGCCTCCCTGAGCAGAGGGCGTGGCCAACAGCTATTAAAATTCACCACGGCACTCAATTACAATCAAACAATGACCCTTTCTCACCCTCTCTCAAGCAGCTGGGACTTTGCAACAACTCACAACTCTCCCACACACTCCCAAACACAGTCCCCCCACACAGTACCCTCAGCTAAATCACCTCAGCTGAAAGCAAAAAACTCACCCCTCTGATAGACAGTTGCCATTAAAAAAAAAAGATGTCTTTGAGTGGTGAATAGAGCAACCCTTCACAGCCAGTGTTTGTGACTGCATGCTTCCACAGATAACACATGATACAATTCCTAAGGATATGTGGAGGTACCTACTTATAACACTGCTATTCAGTGCTACACCAACCCCATCACATTGTGAGGGTTTGGATGCTGGGTACTTGACAACCCTGAGTGTGGCTGGATTTTGCTGGTACTCCAGGTGGGTGGGCCTATTGCCATATTTAATTCTCTTTTTTTTGGTCAAGAAACTTTTATTTTTCTTAATACATTCACATGTCCCAAACAAAACATATTTAATTCTGAAACCAGTCCTCTCATGCAGATGCAAAAATCCTCAAGGAATAGTATGTATCTAGGAATAGGATATATATATGTTTCTGCGAACCAGGGTAACTATGGGATTGAAGAAAAATAGAAAAGGTGTTTACATTACGATATGCACAGCATACCCTGGAAACCCACTCACTTTCCCCAAGGTCTCACTGACACCCTGGAACTGGAAAGTGGCAGAGTTCCACATCCTGAGCACAACCCTGTCACACTGAAGGAGATCCTGCAAATTTAGAGAGGATCCTTAGCTTGCCTTGAAAGTCTACTCGGATTTGCGCACTGACAGCCATTTCTTAAATCAGAGGGACAACTAAAATCCTCCAAATAACCAAAGCACTGAAACACAGTGGAGAGGTCAGCAGGACAGGCTTCACCTCTGAACAACTCCCTGTACCTCACCTTCTGCATGGTCTCTGCCAGATCTCCACAGAGCCAGATGATGTCTCGGCTGGCCGAATAATCGTTCAGGTGGGAGAAAAGATACCTGCAAGAATAAATCAATATCCTCCATTGCAGTGGATTCTTTCATAGAGATTTTTTTTTTGCTGAGTACTACCACGCTACAGTGAAATGGGTAACAATAGAGCAGAATGCCACCAAATATACAGTCAACATCTGTACATAAATGGAAATCAAGAGGAATTCCTGAATTCAAGTTAATCCAGTGGAATCTCTAAAGAAAATCCCTGTTCAAAGTCACCATCAGATTTTCAGGAGACCAACACCCTCATTATATTAAGAAACTAAATCACAAAATGCAACCCTAGCACATAATTTGAATATACATATGTCACACAAAACTGGCAAATCAACCAGCCTTCCATGGAGCTACCAGTGTTTATGAAATCCCAATCGTACATTATTTTTTATCCTGTCCTTCCACAAGGACTTTGGGATGGCATATGTTGTCATTGCCCACCCCCCAACCGCCAGCTCCCATTGATCCTAAAAACAGCCATTGTGAGGCAGGTTAAAATCTGAGCAGCACCCAACTGGTCCAAGACCATCTGGTGAGTTTCATGGCTGTGAAGATTTGAACCTGGGTCTCTAAGGTCCTAGCAAAAGGCTCTAGCCGCTATACCATGCTACCTCTGTACAAGCTGTACTTTTAATACCACAAGAACCCAGAATTGCCACAGTCACCTCTATCTTATATGGTAGGTGTGCATGCATACACACAGACACTTACTTGATCCATTCAACATGACGTTCAGGGCAGTATGCATGGTTCTCCTTGGTTTATCCTCACAACAACCTTGTGGGGTAGTCTAGGATGAGACAGGATGACTGGCACAAAACCACCCAGCAAACCTTATGGCTCAGCAATGATTTAAAAGTAAGAACATAAGAACATAAGAACATAAGAGATGCCAATGTTGGATCAGGCCAAAGGCCCATCCAGTCCAACACTCTGTATCCCACAGTGGCCAGAAATACCAGTGCCATCAGGAGGTCCACCAGTGGGGCCAGGACATTAGAAGCCCTCCCACTGTTGACCCCCCCCAAGCACCAAGATGACAGAGCATCACTTGCCCCAGAGTCCCTATCTATACCTTGTGGCTAATAGCCACTGATGGACCTCTGCTCCATATGCTTATCTAATTCCCTTTTGAAGCCGTCCATGCTTGTAGCTGCCACCACTTCCTGTGGCAGTGAATTCCAAGTGTTAATCACTCTTTGGGTGAAGAAGTACTTCCTTTTATCCGTTCTAACCCGACCGCTCAGCAATTTCATGGAGTGCCCACGGGTTCTTGTATTGTGAGAAAGGGAGAAAAGTACCTCTTTCTCTACCTGCTCTTTCCCATGCATAATCTTATAAACCTCAATCATGTCACCCCTCAGTCGTCGTTTCTCCAAGCTAAAGAGCCCTAAGCGCCTTAACCGTTCCTCATAGGGAAAGTGTTCCAACCCTTTTATCATTCGAGTTGCTCTTTTCTGCACTTTTTCCAAAGCTATAATATCCTTTTTAAGGTGTGGTGACCAGAATTGCACACAGTATTCCAGATGAGGTCGCACCATTGATTTATATAGCGGCATTATGATATTGGCTGATCTGTTTACAATACCCTTCCTAATAATCCCCAGCATAGCATTGGCCTTCTTTATTGCAGTCACACACTGTCTCGACATTTTCAGTGAGTTATCTACTACAACTCCAAGATCTCTCTCTTGATCTGTCTCTGCCAGTTCAGACCCCATCAACGTGTATTTATAGTTAGGATTTTTGGCTCCAATGTGCATCACCTTGCACTTGGCCACATTGAACCCCATTTGCCATGTTGACGCCCACTCGCCCAACTTTGACAGATCCCTTTGGAGTGCCTCACAATCCTCACTGGTTTTCACCACCCTGAACAACTTCGTATCATCCGCAAATTTAGCCACTTCACTGCTTACTCCCACTGCTTCACTGCTTACTATATCTTCCCAACCTAGCAGTTCGAAAGCAAGAAATTGCAAGTAGATAAATAGGTACCACTTCGGTGGGAAGGTAACAACGTTCCATGCACCTTGGTGTTTAGTCATGCCGGCCACATGACCACGGAAACGTCTTCGGACAGCGCTGGCTCTTCGGCTTTGAAACGGAGATGAGCACCGCAACCCTAGAGTCGGATTCGACTGGCTTTCGAGCAAGGGAACCTTTACCTTTACCTTTTTATATCTTCCCAGCCTTAGTTTGACTTTCTAACTACCACACCTCACTGGTCCACCCTATGCACATGTGTGTGTAACAGAGAGAAGCCAATTCCAATACACTGCAATGGGACCTAATCTAAATCAGTATGTGTCAAGGAACCTCACAAGAACTGAGTCCAGCTATCTTGAAACTTACTTATTTAGATATTTATACCATGTTTTCTCCCCAACGGAGACCCAAAACAGCTTACAATCCTCCATTTTTATCCTAGTAGCAACTACCCTGTGAAGTAGGCTAGGGTGAAGGAGAATGCCTGGCCCAAGAGCACCATGGCAGAGGAGAGATTCAAATCTGGCTCTCCCAGATCCTAGTCCAACCACTACCTCATGCCAGCACAGTTAGGTTATTAGCTGCTCTTTGCTTTCTGAGAAATGTTCCTCTTTAAATAATAAAAAAAAATCCTCTCCTTTATTAGCAATAGGCTCCTTCCACCAAAAATCTTGAGCCATACTATAACATCACAGTACAGATATCAATAATAATTACAGAATGACGACAAAAGAAAATTATGCCACTAGTAAAATCGCAACATTGTCACATCAATACTTAGCTGAAGAGTATCTCAACGATGTTATAATAGACCAGAAGGTGGCCACAGATCACATAACTGCAGGACTAACGTCAGTCAACAAAAAGGAAAGCACCTGAGGTTCAATGGCAAGTTGGTACTTGCTCAAACCAGAGGAAATCCAACGTTCTCCCAATGGAGACCCTTGGTCACAGAACAACAAAATGAGTCAACGGTTTTAATCATGCCAGACGCATCCAGAGAATGGAGTATTTGCCAATCACCCCCTCAGTTCGGCTATAGACAACACATTCAGTCTACCTAGCATAAGTGCACAGCAGTTGCTAGGAATGGTAAGGTATTTTAAATATGGAGGATGACTTGCGGGAGGGAGGGGAGATTCCAAGGTAGGGTTGCCAAGTGGCACTTAGCTTGCTGGCGGGGGACTCCTGTGCGGATCCCGGCGTGTGCACGTGCACGCTTTGCGCACGCGCGCCACAAGCATGTCACAGGGAAGTGACGTCATGACACCGGGCACGCTGGGGGCGGGGCCACGACCATACAAGGGAAAACCATAGAGTTTTCCCTTGTATGGCCGTGGCCCCGCCCCCAGCGTGCCCAGCATCATAACATCACTTCCCTGTGACGTGCACGCTAGGGCGGGGTTCCCCCCGGGGCCCGATTTCCCGGCGTTGGGGAACGGGCCTCTGGGGTGGGGGTTCTCCCCCCGGGGGGACTTGGCAGCCCTATTCCAAGGGCTACAGTGGAGGATACATGGTGGGCTTGAAACTCTGCGCTAATTCTATCAGGTTCGATTATCCTTTTTTGATCTCTTGCAATGCTTCCTAAGAGCTAGAATTGCCAGCCCCCAGATTTGAAAGGGGCTCTCAGCGAGTGGGGTGGTGGCACAGGCCTGAATCTCAAGCAGGGAATTGTTGCTGGGAAATCAGCCCTGTGCACGCCAGGGCCCCCACCCCACTTGCAAGCAGAGCCCCTTCCACCCTGCTGAAAGATTTAAAGGGCCCTCCAGCTGACTGTGGAGCTGCGGTGGCTCAAGTGGTTAAGACGCTGAACTGCAGGCTGTGGAAGGTCGGTAGTTCAGCAGTTCAAGACCCGGGTGCCGCATGACGGAGTGAGCTCCCGTCTCCAGTTCCAGCTCCTGCCAACCTAGCAGTTCGAAAGCAAGAAATTGCAAGTAGATAAATAGGGACCACTTCGGTGGGAAGGTAACAGCGTTCCGTGCGCCTTGGTGTTTAGTCATGCCGGCCACATGACCACGGAAACGTCTTCGGACAGCGCTGGCTCTTCGGCTTTGAAACGGAGATGAGCACCGCAACCCTAGAGTCGGACTCGACTGGCTTTCGAGCAAGGGAACCTTTACCAGCTGACTGGTGGGCCATGTGCTCCCCGCCAATCAGCGGAAGCCCTTTAAATCTCTGCAGGAAGGGAGAGAGTGGGTGGCTGGGGCTTGGAGATTGGGGGCACCCCCCCCCCAATCCCCCCACTGGAGTGACAAGGGGACATGGCAACCCTAGCAATAGCCCATATTTTGGATCACAGTAAGGGAAAGATCAAATCACTCAAATTTGCTATCCACTAACTTCACCCAGGCACTTTTGTATCTTCCCTCAGAAGATGTAAACAGCCTCCATAGCAGTTTGATACTGGGGAAAAGGGATTTCAGTCTCAGATTAAAAGCACAAAGCCAAACTCAAACTCCAGTGAACACTGAGCAATTTCTATTCTTACTACAGTCCCTGCAACACAAGGTGGTACTTCAACTATCTGACGAACATACAGTATGAGTGGATATTCAAAAGAACTGAAGACACCATTTATCCAAACACCTGCACCGTACAGAATTTGTGCAAATACTTTTGCATTTAAAGCCTCAGTGGCTACATGCACATAATGCCCTCCTTCAGAGTAGAAAAAAATGTTGTTAAACAAAGATCCCCTCTTCTCCTCTGTATATCAGAATTTTCCAACTTCAGGGGGAAACTCCCTCACTCTAAACACCAGGTTTTCGGAGTCCCAGAACTTTGCCTAGCCACTAGATAGGCCAGGCTATATTGCCAGTCAAGGGTTGCTGTGAGCTCCCCTCCTCCACACCCCCAAGGGCTGTTTCAACACTAGAACCAGTGAGAGAGGAAACATGTTGTGGGTTGCCTAACAACCACAGGATGTACTTGTTACCCACTTTGGGCAGCAACACATTACATTTCAAGAACAGCCTCCTTCATTCCTGTT